TGGGTCACTGCTGACGTTTCTGCTCTTGGACAGTGCAACGCCGCATGAAGATATGTTGTGGCTCCACAATCGCTGAGAACGCTAGTGTGCGTCCATGAAATACTAAAACACAATAGGCGCGGCGCAGCTAACGCCCACTTGGATGAATCGGAGTGGTGGCGAGTGCATTCTCCTTCCTCGGTGAACACTGCTGGTCACCCTGTTTGATGATCCACCAAACACCATCGGTGCAGGCCGCGTTTTTCGGAACCAGCCATTTATTCGTCCACCAACAATTGAAATTAATGTTTCTCACTTGAACACTCTGTAGAGCTGTCGCTGTCGTGACAAGGCCGTGTATACTCCAAATCTTCATGTAGGATGAAGAGTAACAGTTACTGCTGATAATGAAGTTTGCGCTCGTGGACAATACAACGCTGTGTGAAGTAAATTGTGGCTCCACAATCGCTCTGAATGGTAATGTGTGTCCATGGAATACTAAAACACAATAGGCGCGGTGCAGCTAACGCCCAACGTGGATGAAACGGACAACAGCAGCGGCTAGAGCGTTCTCCTTCCTCGGTGAACACTGCTACAAGGCATTATGCTTGATGATTCACCAAACACCATCGTTGGGGGCCAAGTTTTCCGGCGCCAGCGAGTTGTTCGTCCACCAACTAACTTTGATGAGTCTTTCTTCAACACTTCGTAGAGCAGCCGCACAAGGCCTTTCCTTTGCGTTAGGGTAGCGATCCTTCCTAGATGATGTCGCTATTCATTGTTACTTTTTACTACAATGAGTAGTGTTTCTCCGAAAATAAAGTCAGCTGCCTGGGCATTAGCCTTTGGCATTAGTAGTACTGCCTAGGCCTAGCGCCTGGACTTGTAAAAAAATTGATTTTGCAAGTCTTCAATCATGTCTGCATGTACGCGCTATCCAATCCAGCCATGTGGCGTGAACAGATTGCTTGACGTGAAAGGTAGCGCGGCCGGGCGAGCGCGAGTCGTACGCGCTCGCGGACGTGTCTGGCACGGGAAACGAAAAGATTTTTTTGGCGGGTAGTCGGCAAAAATTAAGTGACGGTCCCTTTAGTCCTTCGCCAGTGGAATCCGTTCCTGCCCGTCGTCACTTGACGACGGGCAGTAGAATCCGTTCCTGCCCGTCGTCACTTGACGACGGGCAGTGGATCCAGGTCCATCACCTTTGAGCAGGCAGGACGGCGCTTTCCAGCCCGCGCTGTTTGATCTGTCATTGGTCAACTCCAAGGCGACAATCACGTGACATACGGGAAACAGCGCATACAGCATCGTCATCATGGTCAGCGGAACCGCTTATGGGCTCTAACTACAATGTAAGTACTTTTTAGGATCAGCAGATCCGCTTATGCCATGGCATGAGAGCTATTTTATCTAAACCAGCCAGGCTAGGCAGTGTTCGAACGTTCGTGGATTTTTTTTGTACTGCACAACGACTTCAAACGGTTTCAGTTGCGTACAAGCAAGAGTAAACCCGGGTTTATACGACTTGTAGGCCCTGGTGAGAAGTCTCCCCCAGTCACAAAACTCGTAATGCTCTCAAATGGTTAACTCCGAAAAGCGAAAAAAGTTGTTCGGTTAACTGGTACTGACTTGCTAATAAAAGCAATCTACATACATGTACATGTAAGTCATTGACATTGTACATTGTACTGGAAGTGCAATGGTTGGTATTAAAATTGCGCCCCTGGCCTGAGTGCCCTTTGGCGTTTTTTTTTGCGGCCATCAACACACCATCACACTGATCAATCTCGACTTGAATCGATCGAATCATGTGCCAGTCACTGTTGAGTGCTGTCACACAGATAATTAAAGACTCGCACTAGTAACAGTGTAATAGTAATATACTAATAAGCAGTAAACTGAGCATGAGCGCCACTTGGCACTACTAAGTACTATACCGCACTCTCCTTGCGAATTGCTCCAATCAGCCAACATCGTTCCCATGGTTACAGCACTCCACGCCTCACAACTATATTGTATGTTACCAAGACGGGGTTATGAACTCTTGATCATGTTGATGTTATAATTATTACCAAGAGTACATAAACCAGAGTGTGCAACTGTGCATATCAGATCTGAAACAGCGCAGTTCGTGCACTACGTCACCCTGATGAGATAAGCCAAGCCGCGACTTGCGTACAGCTCAAGTGTTCATGTTTCATAGCCCGGAATCAGCCAAGTTTGCTTGATTTTAGACGTCCTGTTTCAGGATTTCGGTGTTTTGTGTGACTGTGTACGCTGCGTACATCCACCGACAAGTAAAGTCACCAGGCTATCCGTCTCAAAAAACCGAAATCAGGACAAACTCAGTGAACTGCACCACCGCGACTGGTTACGCAACTTTTCACCATACCTGTGGCTTACCATGCCGTCAGAAATGACGTAGTGCACGAATTACGCTCCCACATGCACAGGAACCATCCCGAGTTGCACACTCTGGTTTATGTACTCTTGTTATTACTGATGCTACCTTCAAAGCAGGGAGTAGTACAATACCGGTATTTTACCACTCCCTGCTTCAAAGCATGGAAAGACACACACGGCGCGCACGCACGCACACAGCTCGAGTACTGTAATTTCACAAATTTTCGGTGTACTTTTATTTTCGGTACTTTCGGTGCGTCTGTTTCACACCTAAAATTTCAATACACCGAACAAACACTAACGCACAAAATCCAATAGGGAACTGCTTGTCTGCACCGAAAATTTCTGTTCACCTAACCTAGCCTGTTGCCCTCATACCGAAAATATTGAGCACCGAAAATTTCTGAAATTAGAGTATCGTCACAAAACACGACCTGCCAGTAGTACATAACAATGCAGTACGATACATCGACATGTATGCTACACTACAAGTACAAGGCTTTAGCAGTTAGTACTGAACGGTAAACGTTTACACTTTCCGTACAGACTTCATTAATTTTCACGCGTCCCTGCTTCACCTTGTTCACACCTCTAAACCATCTCCACCAGTCAACTAACTGCCACTCAGTATTCCCACAAAGTCACAAACGGCAACGTAACTCGAGAACATTCCTCAAGCTAGGCTAGGCTAAAGCTTCATTTTCCTACACAGCCGAACGGTTGTGTGTGTGTGTATGTGTGTGTGTGTGTGTGTGTGTGTGAGCTGTTGAATGGTGCAATCCCAGCACAAGCTGCTATGGCTTCTGCTGTAGCATCGCTATCATCGCCTCCGGCGATGGGCGTCCAATGGTCCGTGTGTGTGTGTGTGTGTGCGTGCTGTGTTTCTCAAGTTTCTCGATGGTCCTGGAAGCAGTATCCTCCATTCCGGCCCAGTCTGAGCACCGCCACCATGTACCAAGAAACGAAGCAGTGGGTACCGAAACACCACGGCCCGGTAAAACTATTCGCAGAATTCAAGTCACTCGTCGAAACATCAAGCTTCAAGGTCATGACTGTATGGACATCTACAACAGGTATGGTCGTGTTTGCCTTCAAGTAACTTAGTTTATTCGTCAACAATCTGCTTGGTCCGGTTGGCATCGCAATGCCCTGTCACACCCCGCCATGCTTGCGTTTGACCAAGTACAATTATGTACAATAATTATTACCGTATTTTCCCCAATAAATGTACAGTACTTTTATTTTTTCAAAGGTGGTCAGACCTGTACTACTATACGGGAGACTGTACTAGTATTGGAGACGTGTACTTTTATTGTTTCTGGGAAGATTGATTGCCTGGGTTGGGTGGCAAACAACTCGTGATAATGATGCTGTAAGGCTGTAAATACACCCAACCCTGGTAAGAATCAGTGTACAAAGACACAAATATGATGAACGGGTAAGAAAAACGAAGTAAGGTGGACCCTGGTATCTGTACCCCACTAATGCCCATCACATCATTCCGGTATGTACTATTATTAGAGACGTGTCCTTTTATATTTTCGATCCACACCCAACATGTACTACAATTGGGGACGTACTAGTAATGGAGACGTGTACGTTTAATGTGGAAAATACGGTATGTTTTATTTTATTTTATGTGCATGTATGCAGATACAGATACTTTCCTTCTTGTGTTGTTTTCCCTAGTTTGACCATGCATGCCACCGGCGCTATATCAGAAGACGGAAATCCAGAACACCAACGACATGTCCAGTGCAACAGCGTGTAAGAAGCGAAGCACACCAGTCACGATCACCTGCCCTGCACGGTCATGACGGGCACTACACGGGCCGCACGGTACGCGGTCCTGACGGAGTCGACGGACAGACTCAATCTACATTTTTGTCATGTACATGTACATGCGCGCGTGTGCGTGCGCGCATGTGTGTCGTGAAAGTGTCTGTCCCTGATAGTGTGCAGGTAGCGGCGGCAAAACTACTCAACACAATTTATACAGTGTAATAGCGTTACTCAGTACTTTTAGAAAGACCTTTTTGGAAAGTCTTTCCAATTTCTATCCGACGAATACTGAAAATAGCTACTCCAGCTACTCCTTGAATGTTTCCAGTGCCAATGACTACATGTATGTGGCCCCAGGGAGTCGTGAGACCTGGTTGAGACCTGGTTGAGACCTCGGATCGCGGAATGAGCCCTTCTCTACTCTAGCGTAAGAATAACTAAGATATTCTATATACGCCTTTATATCATTGGGCCTACAATGTAGTTCCCGTTTATTGTGCGAATTAAAATAAATAAACCAACCAACCAGGTACACTATCTACATCTACACTACGTTGCCCGTTTGGTATTGCGAATTCAAATAAAAAACAACAACAACGTAGAAGACGTGCACGTGCGGCGGAAGACGAAGCCGCAAAGCTGGCTAGGCCTTCCCAGTCTCCGTACACCATCTTTTTGGCGCCTTGCCAAAAAACAACAACTGGCAGATACATGTACATGCAGTTGCAATCACGTAGCTGCACAATCATGTAGATCTACAAGTACAAGGTGAACAAAAAATGGCGACCAGTATTGACGAGTACGGACCATACGACTCCCTGGTACGGACGGTATTTTGTCACTGAAAAGGTGCGCTGGCTGTTGTCTGCAACTGTCGACATGTCGAGCCGCTCGACTTGTCTATGACATCGCATTTTTGATTCAAAGCAGATTCTTGCATGTCAGCGACACGAAGTTATTTGCTGGAATGGGGGTGTAACGGTCAACCAGGGGTTCGTTTGTTTCGGTGGAGAGCGGACCTCGGTTGCATTTCTCCGTCCTGTCGGAGGCAATATTCACCAATGGAGGGTGATTCAGCTGCACCGCCCGCTACTACTACACAGCCCGCTACTGGTGCGTCCACTGTGATGAGTTCTGAGAGGAAACAGCAGGACAAACATCGCCGAAAGAACGGTAACAATGGCAGGCTCGAGGGATATCCAGAAGAAGTGTTCGACGAATACGTGGCAATGGACATCTTCACTGCGGCTGCCATCGGCCATTTTGAGCGTCTCAGCGAGTTCCTGTGCATGTCTGACATGGACTGTGACCAGTGCAACAGTGGAGGATGGACACCGCTGATGTATGCAGCGTATGTCGGCCACGACAATGCCGTCAACCTGCTGCTCGACGATGGAAGACTGAACGTGGACGTGTGTTCGCCGACCGGCTGCACCGCCTTGATACTGGCCTCGTCCTGTGGAAATGAATCAGTTGGTTATTTCCTGTTACAGGTGAGGAGGACACATGCGTGTAGTGAGTAGTCTAGTATTGTACGGAGAGCAGTACAATGATAACCTGATAACGTTGTGTTGTGGTGTGTGTTGTTTCTAATCAAAGGTGTGTCTAAGACTCGTTATCGTTTTTGTTTTTGTTCACTATCATAATTATGCTATAGACGAACACTATCAGTTGAGTTCGCTACATCTACAGTAATGAGTTGTGGACATAGTCATTGATATCCACTGGAATGGCCAGGGGCTGGCACCCTCACTGCTTTAGCGTGTATACGCACTGTAATTCACGTAAAGAAATAAAAATAAAAATAAAGAGTAGCTCACGTACACACTGTCAAATGGACAAGCAATGCTCACTGCTGAAAGCCTGAAAACGTGAGTGTGCCCCATGGCCGCTTGATTTCTCAACACCGGGATTCCAATATCCACAACTGTACTAGCTGCACTGGATAGGAGGAAACGAGACACCCTCGAGTTTACATCACCACACTGTAACCTGATGTGACGTGTAAACACCGACCTCCTTTCCTATGATTATAATTTATGATACACTCTATGCGCCACAAAGTAATCCCCCCTCCCCAGCATGCAGACAAGAATTTGAAGAACTTACAGGTCTAGACGATACATAACATCCTGGCCGATGCATGCAAACTGGCCTGTTGGGGAGGGAGAGCAGTGTAGCAAGAAGAGGCCACGGGTGTGTGTGATCCCCCGGTAGGGGTAAGACAGGTGTGCTGGGTTCAAATCCCGCTCGTGGTGCCTTATGTCCAGCATTAGCTATTGTGCAGTTTAACGAAGAAGTATTCAATGTGATCGGCCTGTTGGTCTAGGGGTATGATTCTCGCTTTGGGTGCGAGAGGTCCCGGGTTCAAATCCCGGACAGGCCCATGTTTTATTCTTTTTTTTAACGAACCTAACAATATTCAGATGTCCTTTCTACATACAAAGTCAGTCATGAGTCAGTTATCGTCTGTACAAGGACCAGTATAGTCTTTTTCGGAATATTTTTTCTCTAGTACATGTTTTTTTCCAGGATGCGTAGACTCTGCAGCAGCCAATACATAACTTACACATAACAGTACTGCCTGGTGCTGACGAACTCAACTGGGAACTCAACTGGGGGTTCAGAGTCATAGCCTAGGTTGGTTATGAATTCATGTAGAACGGTCTATAGAATTATACATTAGTTGAGCCACTGTGTACATAATTATGGGTATACCCGGGCTGTGCCTGGTAAAATTCTAGCGTCCGACAGTACCACAAGTCAGGCACCAGTACGATGCCAGTGACACGGACAGAAGGATAAGACTAACACGGAGGAGCAGGGGCAGCGAGTTGCTGCAGTGTCGATGAGGTTTTCCAGACTCGTCCTAACCATACCCAAGACATCTAGGTCATGCATGACCTGACCAACACATCAATTTGGCCGTATGAGTAGGACAAATGGGAATATAGTCCTCATCGGTGTGAATACCGACCATCGACCTTGCATTAGAAAGGTGTCTCAATTCGCGAGTTGTTATTCGTGAGGTTGAAACATGAGAGTAAGTAGTCAAATGGGCACTGGGTCTGAGGATCGTGCCGTTATTCGCGAGTTGTCGTTTATACACGAGGTCCTTATTCACAATGACAAGCGGTTGACTGTACTAGAAGCAAGGGTTGGAGTTAGTATTGACTATTGAGTGTACTAGCGACCCACAGCATGGCAGAGCCCGTCTTGCTGAGCAACGTATTTAGTTTACAGACCCTTTCCTTGAAAATGCTGCTGGAGGCACTTCCAGGTGTGGAGCCGTTGCTGCATGAGAGCCACATGAACACCGTTCCATGCAAAGACGTCAGAAAACGGGAATGATCAGAGGGGGTCGTGAGGTGAGCGGGGGGGAATGGAATCTACCTTTTGATCTTGATAAAGAAAAAGAAACACATCTGCCACGTTCAATTTTCAGCTAGGAGCAAACTTGTGTTAGCTCTTTGCACCTGATAAAGAGAGGTTTTGATGAAACGAGTAAAAAAATTGGGCCTGTCCGGGATTTGAACCCGGGACCTCTCGCACCCAAAGCGAGAATCATACCCCTAGACCAACAGGCCGATCACATCAGCTCAACTACACTGTATAGGAATGATGTGCGGACATAATGAATAATGTGCGTGTGAGAAGTTATGCATGCGTTGTCCGGTTGTCTTCCCCACAGCATGGTGCCAGCATCGACATGCGTGATGCAAACGGTCGCACGGCACTCTTCTACTCTGCCAGCCAGGGACATAAGAATATGGTGGGAATACTACTGGATCACAATGCCGATATAGAAGCAAGGTACTAGTTGGCCAAAGTGGCAGTATCCTATTGTGAGCCATTGCAATCTAATGTACTTGGTGTGTACGATGAAGCTTTCTGCTAAATTGAATATTCGTAACCTTTATCCGAAGTTTTCTCAGGAGGGACCGTTACTGATGTACGTGCCAGCTATAGCTGGATAATACAACATTTCACACACTGTGGATAATACAACATTTCACACACTGTGGATAATACAACATTTCACACACTGTGGATAATACAACATTTCACACACTATGGATAATACAACATTTCACACACTGTGGATAATACTACATTTCATACACTGTGGCCGTCTCCCTCTTTTCTAAAATGTGATTGCTGTTTTGCAGTGAATCTGAGTTTGGGCTGACTCCACTAATGGCCGCTGCACAGGAGGGTCACGAAGGCGTAGTCAGCCTTCTAATCGCTCAGGTACCGTGTGTGTGTGTGCGTGTGTGTGTGTGTGCGTGTGTGTGTGCGTGTGTGTGTGCGTGCGTGTGTTGTTCTTCATGCTGTAGCACCGTCAGATTGTATTCAAAGTGTATTGATCACTAGCAGCACTGCTTCACTATAGCCGGATACACGATTCTCAGCATTGCACACTACTCCGGCTCAGCATTGCACACTACTCTCAGCATTGCACACTACTCTCAGCATTGCACACTACTCTCAGCATTGCACACTACTCTCAGCATTGCACACTACTCTCAGCATTGCACACTACTCTCAGCATTGCACACTACTCTCAGCATTGCACACTACTCTCAGCATTGCACACTACTCTCAGCATTGCACACTACTCTCAGCATTGCACACTACTCTCAGCATTGCACACTACTCTCAGCATTGCACACTACTCTCAGCATTGCACACTACTCTCAGCATTGCACACTACTCTCAGCATTGCACACTACTCTCAGCATTGCACACTACTCTCAGCATTGCACACTACTCTCAGCATTGCACACTACTCTCAGCATTGCACACTACCCAGCTGCGCTAGTTGCCATGTATGAATAAAGGGAACGTAGTGATTTCAGTTCGGATCGGACTGAGTTGCGAGAGCTATAGGAAGTAGCAACTGCAAGATGTTCACTTGCACAACCTGATGGTATGATGTTGACAAGCATGTGCTTGCACACACTGACAGTCTTGCAAGTGATGTCCTACGCTTCGCCTCACTGACCCCCACTCTTTTCTTCTCTCTGTGTCAAGCCCGAACAATTTGTTGTTCTCTGTCCGCCACTGTAGGGTGCAAATGTACGCGCTGTGAGTGACTACGGCCACACAGCAAGATCACTGGCGCAAGGCTGTGGCTCAATGGTGGTAATGACGTTACTGGAAAACGCTGCACAAGAATGCAGAGTGGCACCAAGATCTATACGCAGTGAAGCAGGTTAGGACGTAATAGTTAGGCAGTGCATAGTAGTGTGTAGATGGTAAATAGTTCGGCAGTGCATAGTAGTGTGTAGATGGTAAATAGTTCGGCAGTGCATAGTAGTGTGTAGATGGTAAATAGTTCGGCAGTGCATAGTAGTGTGTAGATGGTAAATAGTTTGGCAGTGCATAGTAGTGTGTAGATGGTAAATAGTTCGGCAGTGCATAGTAGTGTGTCGAGAGATGGTACCTGATCTACTACTACTTTTCCTCCTCCTCTCGTAATCTGCTATCTCGTTTCTCTCTCCCTCATTGATCAGTGCTTTCCTTCTCTGGATGTGGTCACTTCACTTATGCAACTCCCCTATCATCAAACCAGTTCTTTAGAGTCTGGTTATGCTTGGGATAGCTGAATGTCTTTCTCAACTAAACACTTCTGAAGGTCATTATCATCCATTACTCAGCTAACAGGCGGTGCACCTGAGGCTGGTGAATTCATTGTACCGACAATGCATGAAGCTCAGAGTTTGCAGCGGACGGGTTACTATCACGGCAAAATTCCTGGATTACATCATTTTAGCTACGTAGCGCGTGCAAGAAGGATTCAAGCAGGTCTCCTGCTAAACAACAGTGAACTGCAACTCTATGCTGCTTCCCGCCACATATCTGCACCAACCATGATGCAATGCAGGAATTCTTCAGTGACAAACACCCATGCAGAGAAAACTAGTCACAAGCTGCACACACTGGGTATAATGTACACTTGACTGCACATTTACATGTAGCTATCTCTTACACATGCCGCCTGTACTGGTTGTAACGCTGGTGGGCAGGCTGTCTCTACATCAGCTATCACATAATGCACCTCTGTTGACAGGCCAATCAAACAATGCAAGGCATGTTCTTTTCTTTTGAATGTTTTATCCCCTCGTAAAGGACTATCCGATGACCTGTGTAGTGGGCTCACACCACCACAGTATGAGGGCGAATGGATCGGCAAAGCAGCCAGTTCACCCCGCAAGCACATTCACCGGCATAACCAAGGGCACAAGTCTCGCAAGCGGCATGCTTCTGCCGGCAGTGGTGCCAGTGCATCGGGAAGGTCCGGTATCCACGACGGCCCTGCAGCAGTTGCACATCTTCTCAACTCAGCCACAGCAGATGCTCTGGCAGCAGCCAGGGCTCCCGGGCCGCATGACCAATCACCGGCAGATGCAGCGGTGCAAAGAGGTCTCTCACAGAACACATATGATGGACAACACAATAGTAATGACGACCATTACGGTGGTGATGACGATGATGGAGAAAGCAGCAGCAGCGGGAACAGTAGTAGCAGTCCTGATGACTTTGATGCTGGCAGTGACGATGACGATGACAATATGACAAGTGCAGACCGTTTTGCCAACATGGCCGTGAGTACAGTGCGTGCATCAAGTGGAGAGAGCACTGGATCCAGTCCACAGAGCAGTGACATGGGACGACAACTGGCCGAGCTCTGCTCTCTGTCTACATCGGATCATGCCACTGGTAAGCTGAGTAGCCGGCATGTCAGTGCAAGCAATGGTGCTGGGACCAACAGCACTCGTTCGGGGAAGCACAGTAGTTGCAGCGGGTCTGTTGCAAACCCACACTTCGTTGCCACCAGACAGACCAGCACCTCGACGGAGTCAGATTCTCCAAACAGTTCCCAGGAATTACAGCCATCGCATCGTGCCGCCTCTAACACATCCGCAAAACACCACGCGAGCCGACCGCAAACAATTGAGGAGTTCCTCTCAGCTCTGGGTCTCTCTAAGTATCTGCCGCTATTCGAAGAACAGGACGTGAACATGCATGCATTTCTGACATTGACGGATGATGACTTGAAGGAAATTGGACTAAAGTAAGTTGCAAGCTGTTGTGTATACATAGCATACTCAGAATGCACACTCGGTGACATAACAGCCTAAGTTATCGTAAGCACTGCTTTTAAATACAGTCAAATATAACCACCCTCCTAAGCGGTAGGAGGTGAGTAGATCAGACCCACCACAAAGTGGTCTGCATCTGCGCCTTGATCCAAGAGTGTGGTGGCGTTCCTGTGGATGCGGGAAACTTGGCCGCCAGCCGAGTCTCACGCGAACCGTAATTTAATTAAAATTAACAATGACCCTCGATCGTGTACAAGAAAGGGGTCGTTACTCGCAAGTTGTCATTCGTGAGGTTGAAAGCATGCAATCAATTGGTCACTAGGTCTGAAGAGCGTGTCGATATTCGCGTGTTGTTGTTATACCTGTAAGTAAATATATGTTGACTCCACATACAATCAGAGTCGCTCAAGACAGTTCGGATAGAGTAGTCGAGCACAGCCAATCAGCCTCCCAACTCTTCTCTTGCATGCACCCATCTGCTTGCATACTGTTGTGGCCAAAGGAATCCGGCCCGTGAGCCGAAAGCAGCACCAAGGATTGTGCGGTCCCTGCGGTTCTCGGATGGGTGTTTCGAACGGTGCATGATATCATTGAAACGGAAGTGCAGTGCTGCTTTTGACTTGCGCGTCAGTTTTCTTTGGTCACGACTGCAGGAACACACGTACCTATGCACACCACCCTGTACTGCCGTTGATGCTGCTAACCACAGCACGTGTGGTAAATAAAGTTGCAGCGCGTTTGTAAATTGTGTAAGGTGTCATTGCGGGTCACAGCAACTCTGCAACCCTTCGATTACCTTCCTGCATTCATGAAACATGGTTGCAGTAGTGTGCAGGGTTTGTGCAGCCATGACCTGGGACTGTTTCTCCGGCTTTGTTTCCTGTGTTTCCGTGCCTTGTCTTGTAGACTGTTTGGTCCGCGTCGCAAGATAACATCTGCAATAGCCCGTTGGCATAGCCAGGCATGGACCGGATCAAATAGAGTGAGTTTCTGCCTGCCTGTTGTCTTCTTTTAGTGCCAGGACGATGAAGATAATTTCGATGGTGATGTGTGTACGACGTCCTGCTCAGATGCCCTCGAACCTCATTGAGACGATAAAATCGTGACCTATGCTATACGGTAGCGTTGGGAAAAACTGGTTTTGTATCAAACTCCAAGAAAACACAGAAGTTGCAGGACCAGTTAGTCAGGGTATAGAAACCACATACTTGATGCCCTTGAAAGAACATGCCACGCTAAACCTATTCTTGCCATCCGATGTCACTGTTCTGTAGCTCATGCTGATACCGTGTGACTTTCAAGTGAAGTGCTGCTCAATGAAATCCGATCGAGTGGATCAAGTTTGCGCCCTGTACCAGTACAACATTCCAGTGTTAGCAGGTCTGGGGCTGTACAGCGCTGCCCGGTGTGGCATTCACTCGCTTGGGCTGTACAGCGCTGCCCGGTGTGCCATTCACTCGCTTGATCGGATTTCATTGAGCAGCACGGTGTAATGATGATGACAACATGACTAGTACAGTCATGGCAAGTGAAATCCGACACTTGCCATAGGGGACAGCGCCACAAATGGACATCAATGATGTAATGCACTGCACCTAATTTGTACTATAGAGCCGTATGCATCCCAAACAGATCGAAAGGTCACAGCGTAGATACACACAGTTCACAAACATGGTACACATAAGGAGTATTGGTATCCAGTGCTCATTCATTTTTGCCAGCACCTTTTGAAACTTGACTGTGAACCTTGACTGTGATGAGTAGATCTACCTAGTACGAGTTCTGTCATGAGACAGATCAAGTTGTATGTAACACATGCACTACGTACGTATGCAGGGCTGCAGGGGCTGCAGACTGCATGGTACAGCAGGGGCGTAGCACCCGCTACGACTGGTACGACCATGGCCGTACCACTTTTCGAAAAGTGTGGTCCGTCCGGAACGTGCAAAACCGTAATAAAAAAATCAGGATCCATCGATGCATATGCGCATCAGACTTTGACCTTTTTCTAGACTCGTACTCGTAGATCTGTCATGCATCTGTGCATGTCCATGCACGTCTCTTCTGCCCGTGAAATAATTCTATGACTTATAAACTGTGCCAGAAGTGTGCCAGAAGGTCCCAGAACACAGGATTTTGTGTCTTTTTTACAAAATTTTCCCGGGGGAGGTCCCCCGGACCCCCTCCAAAACGGCCTTCGGCCGCGCCGACCTTTAGTCGTACCACTTCCAAAAACCCCTCCTACGCCACTGTACAGTCCCTTATGCTAAGTGTCGGATTTCACTTGCCACAACTGTACTACTTCAGTCCATGCCACCCCGTCTTGCGCAATACAATGTCTATGCAATTGTATGCTGTGGGAGGCTGTTCCTGCTAACCTTTGACATTTTACAAATATCAGTAGCACATGGCAAAGATGGCGTGAAATACCCAGGGCTTAGGTAGGGGTGGACTTGCAGCCTAGGTTTGTGCTGTATGAATAACGATATTGTTACAGCAATGCTGCCATCCACACTTCTCAATCTGCCACCAGATCAAGTGCGATTGGATGTACTAGTACTAGTACTACTTCTACTTCTTTCGCCTGTACATGTGTGCTTGTCGTAGCTTGAACAGGCGTATGCAGATCACATGGACATACAGCTTCGGGAACTAACAGAGAAACATCAACAGGTAAGCTTGACTGTGGCTGTGGTTACCTGGAAATCACTTTCTTACCGTGCTGAATCGCAAGCCTGCTCAATCGGTTCAGAATAGTTTCACAGGTTCACGGCACGTCACTACAAGTGTGAGAGCATAGAGCATGGGAGCATAGAGACTGAGAGGCTTAGAGCATGGGAGAGCATAGAAACCGAGAGGCTTGACAGTACAGCATAGAGACCGAGAGGCTTGGCAGTACAGCATAGAGACTGAGAGGCTTGACAGTACAGCATAGAGACTAAGAGGCTTGACAGTACAGCATAGAGACTGAGAGGCTTGACAGTACAGCAGAGGGCCTAAGAGGCTTGACAGTACAGCATAGAGACTGAGAGGCTTGACAGTACAGCATAGAGACCGAGAGGCTTGACAGTACAGCATAGAGACCGAGAGGCTTGACAGTACAGCATAGAGACTGAGAGGCTTGACAGTACAGCATAGAGACTGAGAGGCTTGACAGTACAGCATAGAGACCGAGAGGCTTGACAGTACAGCATAGAGACCGAGAGGCTTGACAGTACAGCATAGAGACCGAGAGGCTTGACAGTACAGCATAGAGACTGAGAGGCTTGACAGTACAGCATAGAGACTGAGAGGCTTGACAGTACAGCATAGAGACCGAGAGGCTTGACAGTACAGCATAGAGACTGAGAGGCTTGACAGTACAGCATAGAGACCGAGAGGCTTGACAGTACAGCATAGAGACCGAGAGGCTTGACAGTACAGCATAGAGACCGAGAGGCTTGACAGTACAGCATAGAGACTGAGAGGCTTGACAGTACAGCATAGAGACTGAGAGGCTTGACAGTACAGCATAGAGACCGAGAGGCTTGACAGTACAGCATAGAGACTGAGAGGCTTGACAGTACAGCATAGAGACTGAGAGGCTTGACAGTACAGCATAGAGACCGAGAGGCTTGACAGTACAGCATAGAGACTGAGAGGCTTGACAGTACAGCATAGAGACTGAGAGGCTTGACAGTACAGCATAGAGACCGAGAGGCTTGACAGTACAGCATAGAGACTGAGAGGCTTGACAGTACAGCATAGAGACTGAGAGGCTTGACAGTACAGCATAGAGACTGAGAGGCTTGACAGTACAGCATAGAGACTGAGAGGCTTGACAGTACAGCAGAGGGCCTAAGAGGCTTGACAGTACAGCATAGAGACTGAGAGGCTTGACAGTACAGCATAGAGACCGAGAGGCTTGACAGTACAGCATAGAGACCGAGAGGCTTGACAGTACAGCATAGAGACTGAGAGGCTTGACAGTACAGCATAGAGACTGAGAGGCTTGACAGTACAGCATAGAGACCGAGAGGCTTGACAGTACAGCATAGAGACCGAGAGGCTTGACAGTACAGCATAGAGACCGAGAGGCTTGACAGTACAGCATAGAGACTGAGAGGCTTGACAGTACAGCATAGAGACTGAGAGGCTTGACAGTACAGCATAGAGACCGAGAGGCTTGACAGTACAGCATAGAGACTGAGAGGCTTGACAGTACAGCATAGAGACCGAGAGGCTTGACAGTACAGCATAGAGACCGAGAGGCTTGACAGTACAGCATAGAGACCGAGAGGCTTGACAGTACAGCATAGAGACTGAGAGGCTTGACAGTACAGCATAGAGACTGAGAGGCTTGACAGTACAGCATAGAGACCGAGAGGCTTGACAGTACAGCATAGAGACTGAGAGGCTTGACAGTACAGCATAGAGACTGAGAGGCTTGACAGTACAGCATAGAGACCGAGAGGCTTGACAGTACAGCATAGAGACTGAGAGGCTTGACAGTACAGCATAGAGACTGAGAGGCTTGACAGTACAGCATAGAGACCGAGAGGCTTGACAGTACAGCATAGAGACTGAGAGGCTTGACAGTACAGCATAGAGACTGAGAGGCTTGACAGTACAGCATAGAGACTGAGAGGCTTGACAGTACAGCATAGAGACCGAGAGGCTTGACAGTACAGCATAGAGACTGAGAGGCTTGACAGTACAGCATAGAGACTGAGAGGCTTGACAGTACAGCATAGAGACCGAGAGGCTTGACAGTACAGCATAGAGACCGAGAGGCTTGACAGTACAGCATAGAGACTGAGAGGCTTGACAGTACAGCATAGAGACCGAGAGGCTTGACAGTACAGCATAGAGACCGAGAGGCTTGACAGTACAGCATAGAGACTGAGAGGCTTGACAGTACAGCATAGAGACTGAGAGGCTTGACAGTACAGCATAGAGACCGAGAGGCTTGACAGTACAGCATAGAGACCGAGAGGCTTGACAGTACAGCATAGAGACCGAGAGGCTTGACAGTACAGCATAGAGACTGAGAGGCTTGACAGTACAGCATAGAGACTGAGAGGCTTGACAGTACAGCATAGAGACCGAGAGGCTTGACAGTACAGCATAGAGACTGAGAGGCTTGACAGTACAGCATAGCGACCGAGAGGCTTGACAGTACAGCATAGAGACCGAGAGGCTTGACAGTACAGCATAGAGACTGAGAGGCTTGACAGTACAGCATAGAGACTGAGAGGCTTGACAGTACAGCATAGAGACCGAGAGGCTTGACAGTACAGCATAGAGACCGAGAGGCTTGACAGTACAGCATAGAGACCGAGAGGCTTGACAGTACAGCATAGAGACTGAGAGGCTTGACAGTACAGCATAGAGACTGAGAGGCTTGACAGTACAGCAGAGGGCCTAAGAGGCTTGACAGTACACACCCACTGTTTACAGTGAGCTGTACAGAGAATATAGACATTCTGGAAATTCTGTAATTGAGGATAAAAAATAAGTCAGACGTGCCATAAATAGTAAACCAAATAAAATAAATACTTGATGAAAATCCTCACACATTGGCCATTGAGGTATCATTTGAATAACTGGAAGCTTGCAGCTGCAAGAGATAAAATAATGATAATAAGTGATGTTGTTATGGCATGGTGTGTTCCGTACACAGTGTGTGGAACAGCTTCACAGATACCATGCTCAGCTACAGCAAGAACATGATCTACGCGCTGCCACTGAAGCCTGCCTCCTGGATGAGCGCGCGGCAAGTCAGGCTTTGGAGCAGACGGCACGCATGTCACACAAGTCACTGAAAGCCGCAAGAAAGCAACTCGAGCTGGCACTGAAGGGACAATCAAGTCTCCTCGAAAAGATGCAAGGTATGTGTGTCAGCATAAACATTGTATAGAAGCAGTCAGAAGCAGTTAATGTGTAGATGAGCGGGCCAGCCGCAGAATTCGTTGAAATTAGACTAATAACATCACCAGCGAAGTGTAGTTGATACTAAAAGTGGGTGTGCTACCCTCAGCTTGCTCCAACGATGTGCAGAGTTATGACAGCAGTGCAGCACCATAGCATGATCAGTTGTCATGTCTGATGTTGTTTGTTTCTTGCCCAGACTTGGAAGGTAGCAGTGCAGCAGAGGCAACTGTCCTTGCACGGCAGTGCTATCAGCAGATGAAGACAGCATTGAAGTCAATGCAGAGTAGCGGATGATTAATCTGAAAACGATACGAAAGTGGTGAGAGGTCGCAGGCGATTTCTTTTTGAATTCTTGATGGACACTTTGGCAAGCCTTGCTTGATTGATTCTACACCCCTTACAATTACTTGAGTATGAGCGCTTTGTTTGTTTTGATCAACTGGAATTATCATAGAGTTTGCAACCAATTGGAATAGGTGGCTTAATTGCCTCAATTCGAGCCACTTCTTTGACAATGTATTCCTGCTTGACACGTATAACATATTTTCTTATTTTCAAAACTTGAGATTTTATTGTATTAAAGGGGTCGTCCGTAATTTTCGAAAAAATAAAAAATAAGCAAAACGAGTGTGGGCGGTCAAGAACGCTGGCGGATTTTTTTGATTTTTGTACCTTTTTATTATTATTTTTTACTTCAGTGACTTTCATACCGTGACTTTTTGCACTGACTATACTGTGCATACATGTAGTGTACATTGATTGAGTGTAGTGTACATTGATTGAGTGTAGTGTACATTGAGTATTTTTCGCTCCTGCTCTTGTAGTAGTTGAGCACTCTCATGTGCCTTTGCTGTTTGCATTTAGTCAGTTTGAGCACTCGGCAAGGTACGTTCGGGCCTGGTTTAAATTTGGCTTTGGAAATTTTATTTTTCATTGCTATCAGGTTCGGCCTCATTTTCTCTGTGCTGCGCTGATGAGTTCACAAAGAACGAAGTGGGTGTGGGTGGGTCAGAGACAATTTTGCACGAGGACAGATTTTTTAATTTTTCGATAATTACGGACGACCCCTAAAAGCAATTTTGTTGTTAGCGTGAAAGAGGGAGGCTTTAGTCTACTCCCTGCCTGTGTGGTCTCTGGCCGACCTCGTTCACCACACGTTCACCGTTCGAATGCCGCTAGTGGATCCTTCTTCTGCAACAATACTACCAGTAACCATGGCAATCATGGCAGCCCCCCCCCCCCTTGATGACAGTAGAATCAGTACAGCCACAGACCATACTGTGTGCAGCACTAACCTTTCCTGGCTCTGTTGGGGAAATGCAGCATCAGAAGCTAGCTGGGCAGAAGTGCTGGTCAGGACACTGGTTGTAGACGGTCGAGTCTCTTTGCGCTCTGCATGCACGAGCTGCTGTGACAGGACGCAGGGAACTGGTACGACTGCTGCAGCTCTGGTGACACTCACAGTGTGACAAGTGACGTAATAAGTCTAGAGAAGGATCATCTCGATTTCCTCAGTCCACTCTGGCTTGACATGTTCCTGTGCATGGTGTTAGTAACACAAACATGTACGTACACGGACACACATCACCTGTCTGTAGGCTACATACACAGTATGTACTACAGGACTACCGGACTACTGATCACTAAAGAACAGACAGGCTAAAATACTAGTATTACCAGGTGCAGGATACCTATATACACGATGGCTCACTTTATCGACAGTTCTACATGAAAAATAAGAATTGCCTATGGTACGACTCTGAACCCCAGTTCTTTGGCACCAAACAGTATTGCAGAACAGTGTCAGGTGAAGTCCAGCCCTGGGCATCAGCTTCACAAGCTGTGCAGGGTTGGATGTCAGCCAGTACCACCTGGCACATGTTCCCACTGCGTCACAATCTGTTCACATGTTACCGGTATGATGTACAGTAGGACATAAAAGACTGGGCTAACACACTACCTGGCACATGTAATTGTCCCCACTGCGTCACCGTCAGTTCACATGTTACACTATGACATGAAGGACTGGGCTAACACATTACCTGGCATGTGATGGCGCGATGACGGCAGCGATGGATGAACTGGCTGCTGTATGCTGAGTGATGGCGTTGCAGAACATGGTGAAATGCACGGTGGGCAATGCTACATAGGTAACACACACAGACACACACAGACACACCCAGGCACGTGCACGAACGCACACAAACACACAGATCAAGCCCGAATACTAATACTCAGCAGCACAAACAAGTGAGGTCAACCGTAACAATGACTTTCTGCTTTCCTCTCTGCTGCAGGAGATTTCGAAGTGTGTGTTCCAGGCAGTGGCAATCGCACTACTTATACAATAGTTTCACAAACGCCACGTTCTATATGGAGCAGTACTGTGCACATACCTGTCAACTTGTTTGTAGTGTATCGGCAGTCCACCTTGGACACCAGCTACCTGCAATGCAAAAGAAACATAGCTGCCTGGAGTCAGCTGAGATGCAACAGCATAATAACACAATTTGGGAAGGACATGCACCACCATTGTCAAACTCACTTTCTCTTCACAAGATCACTCTCATCAGTACAGCCTCAGAAGATTCAATGGAAAGGCAAGGCACACACTGGGGTGAGTTGCGATGGCTCAACAGAGAGTTCCAAATACACCTGCGTGCAGAGCCTTATAGACATGGGACGCAAATGATGGAGTCAAGGTGTGTGCTGAGAGTGCTCACATGCCTCAGTAACCATGGTGACCATGGTTCTAGCGAGGAAGAAAATAGTAGAGGGGTGGAGCAGGGGAAACAAACATGTTCCAATATTGCTGTGTCACACGAAATGCAACGTATGCACCCGGAACGATCGATTTGTGGCTTCATTTGTGTTGTGTGAACTGAAAAACACAAAAATCGAGAAATGAGTAGGTGACACGTGATCAGCGTAGAGGGTGCTGCTGCCCCCTCCCTTGGCGAGAGCCCTGATAAGGGATAACCTTGGTCCACTGTTGTACTTTTACTGGCAGAGAGAAGGGAATACAGCTCAATACACATACATGCAGCAGTAGAGTACAGTTTTAGTTTCCCCTTCTCTCTACTGAGTATGTGCAGTGTGACAATGCACTGGTCAACAGGAGCAGTGAAGGGTGAGCAGTGCATGCATGGGTGTAGTATGGTAGCAAAGTGGTGCCTCACCATTGGCCGAAGCTGTCGTGATGCATGCTTGAAGAACTCAGCAATGAGGTCAGCCAGTAGCCCTAGTGGTTCATGGGGGTACACAGACAGTGGCATCAACAGCATCAGTAGCATCAGCCATAGCAAATTCAGTGACAGAGAACATTGTAATTTCTTCATCAACATGCGTACGTATTTGACTTATTTCGGTAGAGAAACCAGGCACCTAAATTTAGATTACACCTAAAAGGCACTAGAGTATGCACTGTAAGTGCAGGTAATGCTGGTCACCTAATTCTACATTACCACCTAAAACCTGTCAGGTGCATGACACCGAAATTTCAATGCACCTAAAAGGCACCAGAGTATGCACAGTACGTGCAGGTAATGCTGGTCACCTAATTCTACATTATCACCTAAAACCTGTCAGGTGCATGACACCGAAAACATTTCAATGCACCTAACATTAGATGTTTTACAGTGGTAGAGGTGTTACCCCCCTTTAAGGCCAACATGAACGTTTGCAATGCTTTCCATTGTTCTTCAATCTGATAAGACAGATAAGCAGCCATAGCGCTGTGGATCTACAATTGTAGCCGGTCTCATGAACACTGTTGTCAATCATGAGCACAAGGACTAGACCTGCGAGTCCACACCCGAGGAGCGAATGGGATCGCTGGTCTCGCCTGAACATGAACTTAGGAATGGTTTGAATGCATTCCCGATATCAAGAGGACATAACCCCGAAGAGTGTGCAACTCCAGCTATGGCCCGGGTCTGCGACGGCAGAACTTCACATCACGTGATGAACCCGTACACATTATTCGCACTCTGTGCATGATAGATACAGGGTTGCACGCAACCCTGCTTCGGGTTCAACAGTCTTGTGGTCACTTTGCACTGTTTGCCAACGTAACCTTTTGAGCCATGTCACGTGATGTGAAGTTCTGATGTCGCAGCACAGCATAGAGGTTGTGCAGGCAGTTGCACACTCTAGGGGGTTATGTACTCTTGCCGATATGAACACAGCGAACAAAGCCAATTACATTCTTAGCTTTTTCTGCACTTCTGACTTGACACATAAGACCACCTAGTGTGATAGCCAATCATACTGTACGTGATCTCCAAGTGGCTGTGGGGGCATTGCCCTAACAAGATTTCTTTGCTCTGCTCGGTACAACTGGAGACAAGCGAAGCGTTTGTCCCAGTACATACATCACATACCCTGATCTCCCATTGCACACCGTAGCAATGATGCATGACAAGACAACCCGTCCACTAGACTAAGGCTGAGTTAGTTTTTAACTACCTGGTAGAGTAGAGTAGAGTCACTCTACCGATAGAGGTAGATGGTAGAGGCAAGTGCAAGAACGCTATTCTACCGGATTTAGTAGTTTACACGATATGTACGTGAAATGTTTCTCCTCTGTATGGAGTTGTGTACAAATCCTTGATCCTGCTGGAAATCCCGTAGCTCTACCAACTTTTTCCTGGTAGAGCCGGTAGAGGAAAAGTAGAATATACCCTTTTGAGTAGAATTTTTTTTTCAAAAAACGAACACCTCTACCGAAAGAAGTAGTTTCTACCCAAACCTGTAGATCAAACACGCAGCAGTAAGCAGTAAGGACCTGTGCAAAAGTCGTAACTTTTCTTCGTGTTGTACGTAATCTGTGTGTAGGCACTGCCCTATATCGAAAATGTATTTTTAAAAGCCAGGTGACCCATCATTAAAGTTACACGTTACACTCGGCTGAGAGCAAAGCTTACTGCTCAGGGTGGTGTCAACCATTGATGGACACTTATTCAATATTAAAGAGGATCGTCCCTCTAAAGAGTGGTGTTTGTGTCAGGGGAATGTTATCTGAGTTATATTGTGTATGGTATTGTGTATGGTATTGGGTATGGTACCGGGCATGACACCGGGCATGACACCGGGCATGACACCGGGCATGACACCGGGCATGACACCGGGCATGACACCGGGCATGACACCGGGCATGACACCGGGCATGCCACCGGGCATGACACCGGGCATGACACCGGGCATGACACCGGGTATGACACCGGGCATGGCACCGGGCATGACACCGGGCATGACACCGGGTATGACACCGGGTATGACACCGGGTATGACACCGGGTATGACACCGGGTATGACACCGAGTATGGTATTGTATCGGGTATGACACCGGGTATGGTTGGAACTTCCGACATGTGCAGTAGCCGGGTCATAGTGCCCTGCGCGGATCCGAGCATGCTGTTGAAAGGACAAAAATTAAAATCTTTGGAGTCATATCGTTTCAAACGTCTGTGAGTGTAGTTGTCCTGAAAGTAGAAGTAGGAAAGCCGGTCAGGTCTAGTTTGAGCAGTTATGTTGAAGTCTGCAAGTGCAAAGGCAACATAGGATGCACTTTCTCTCAAAGAGAAATACGAGATCGTGCAGATGCAAGAAAAAGGATTGAAAGCAGCGGCATCGCTCCCAACGTCTGTCGCAAGTCTACACCGTGCTAAAACAAAAAGGACACAATCAAGCATGCCTGCCTTAGCGGTGAGCGGTACTCGTCTGCACAGCGCGTAAGGAAGTCTCGCTGGCCAGAGCTGGATGCCGCTCTGCGAAATTGGCTCACTAGCGCTAGAGCTGCAAATCTGGATGTGACTGATGACATCATGACGATGGAAGCGGAGAAGCTTGCAAGACATTGAGTGGTTCCAGACACGACGTAAAACAGTGCCCAGAAGAAAACTCTGAAAAAAGAAGAAGAAGGAACGAAAGGAAATGGGGACGTCAATCGATGTGGCAATGCGAACAAGATGTCGATGTCGATGTTGACAGCGGGGGATATCAAGCGAGAAGTTCTCAGCGAGCAAAGGCTTCATTAGTCGCTTCAAGGCACGACACCAAGTCTCGCTGAGGATGAAAGCTGGAGAGAGGAGAGAAGCTGCAGCTGATCACAACATCGATCAATGGCTCCACGATGTTCTCCCAACATTGATTGAAGGGTGTTAGGCCCACAAGTAACGTTAGTTCATGCATTATTCATTTGGCCTGGGTAGCTACTTGCGCGCCCATGTATGCCATAGCTACCCAGGCCCTTTATATTGCGTTGCTCTCCTCTTCAACTCGCTCTCTTCAGCTCTCTCTCTTCAATAAGCTCGCTTTCTTCAGATAATCTCTTTCTCACTCTTCAATGTAGTCGTTCCGTTCGTCCTGGTCTCTTGTCTCGTCGTCTATAATAAATGTCGTTCCATCAACCTACCTGTTCCCGTTGTCAGTTGTGTTAGTGAGTAAGAAACCTCTCTTCTTTGGACCTAACATTGGCGCCCAACTTTACTCGACGCGGAGTTCTGCCTCCACAGCTCACGACCCTGAGATGTGATTTACGTGTAGTGTTGCTCCCGTCACTGCTGGACTGTCCTTGTTTATTCGTCACCCCTGTCCGTGTTCGTCGTGGAGCTGTGTCGTCGTGCTGTGTCGTCACGCAATGTCATCCTTCTTCGGACTCAACATTGGCGCCCGACCATTGCTCGGAACCGACGACCCTCGTCCACTACCGCCCGGCATTCGTCTCGTCGTCAGTCTCGTCTTGTCGCCAACCTCGTCTCATCTCCAACCTCGTCTCGTCCAGGTCCACCTCGTCTCGTCCAGGTCCACCTCGTCTCGTCATGCAGGTCAGCTACCTTTCTCTCTTTCTTTTTTGTATGCGTTCCTTCTTCGTCAATTTTTTTGACCACAACATCGATCAATGGCTCCACGATGTTCTCCCAACATTGATTGAAGGGTATGAACCCAAGAATGTATTCAATGCGGACGAAACTGCATTGTTTTACCGGCTCCTTCCTCACCATACTCTAGCATTCCGCGGAGAGAAGTGCCAGGGCGGGAAGAAAAAGGAGAGGCTGAGTGTATTGTTAGCCGCCAATATGGATGGTTGGGAGAAGCTGGTGACACTGGTTATTGGGCATTACAAAAACCCAAGGTGCTTCAAGAATGCCAGATCCTTGCCGGTGACGTACAAGCACTCGAAGAACGCATGGATGACAGGATCATTGTTCAAGGAGTGGCCGATGAATTTCAACCAGGAAATGGCCAAGCAGAAGCGAAAAGTGCTCCTTTTCTCGGACAACTGCTCGACCCACTCAGCCGCAACCCTGACTGCGAACTTCTCGCACATAACCATTCATTACTTCCCTCCGAACTCAACATCCAGGAGCCAGCCGATGGACCAAGGCGTGATTCGCAGCATGAAAGCGGCCTACCGGACCGAGCTTCTGCGGCGCATTGTGGATGCATTTGACTCCGGCAAATCCACTGATGAGGCAAAACCAGCAGCCACGATCAAGACGTTTTCGCTACCGTGCGACCTGGCGAAAAGGAGGTAGTGTGTACTGATGTATCCAGAGTGAATATGAATCGGGTTCATGCTGGAGTGAAAGCAACATGGCTAGTTCCGATGTTGAAGTTAGAAGATGCAGCCAAGCCTCTTGTACACACACACACACACACATACACACACACACACACACACACACACACACACACACACACACACACGCACGCACACACACACACACAGAGCAAAACAGCTGAATAGACCGTCTATGCCCGACCGGCAACTCTTACCCTGCATCAGGTTCATGCTGTGCCTCAGGCGATGTCCCTGGGGCAGACGCCTGCTCAACGCGTGAAACTTCATTGCAACAAACAAGAACGCCTGGTAGACATTCTTCACAACTGTTTGCTCAGAGTTCAGCTATAGAAAGGAAAATCAGCAGACATAACATGGCAAAAAGCAATTCCGAGAAGCCGAAGATGAATGATAGACAACAGAGGACTAGTTCACTCTGCTATGAACCAAACCATCACACAGTGCAAAAAGGCAACAGCTGTTCTCGCTATAGGTTCTTGGCCTGCTGCAGCCTGTCAAGCTGAAAGCATTAGGAACATTGGGCTCATAGTAGTGGTGAAACGAATATACCGAATGTTCGAATATTCGTTCGGTTTGACACATTCGAACGAATATTTCTCATGGCGAATATTCGTTAACCCGGTATGCAGAATCAACCGGGCGACTTCAAACTTTCGTAACTTCGTGAATACTTGACCGAATCGCTTCATTGAAAGATCTATCAGCATTAGCAAACTCTCAGCTGTTGTTTAGAAGCCACCCGAACGCAATCTGCGGTCCTGGAGGGGAGGTATGGCGCTCGAACGAAAATCACGTCTCAAGCTCAAGCTGTTTTTGAGCCTGTGAAAGGCACTTCAGCTGGGGATTTTTGTGAAAAATGACCTAGAAATGATGAAGAAATATATACCTTCGCTCGTCATGCCTAATAATAGTGACAATATCCAATAAAATGACTGAGAGGAGGGCATGTGATGTCATCCGTGTTAACGAAAGGATATTCGTTCGTTCGTTCGTTCAGCCGAAGAACATTTGGCTACTGGGTTTTGATATTCGTTTCACCACTAGCTCATAGTCCTAACCCTCCCTGCCCAAAATAAGATGGCATTGATAGATACATTACTTTAAACTGTACACCGTCCTTGATTATGCAAAGAAAGACGTAGACTCGGCTCATATATGAAATACTAACTTGCTCACAGAGTTTGTTACTATTGCAGCTTAGACACTCACTCCAACAACACAGTCAAAGATTCAGTGTACCACAATACGATTCAGGCAAACTTACCGAGCGATCCAGAAGGATAGCATTGCACTTTGTCTTCAGCGTCCTACCGTAGGCACCACCATGGTTACCATAGTTACAAAGAACAAGAGACAAGAGACAAGAGTATTTCAGAAGCAGTACATTTTACTTCACCAGATACACATGCATTTCTGCCTTCTCGTCAAACAGGAATGTGCCTCAAAACGAGATCAATTTCCGCAGAATGGAATAACAGCTGCTTGCTCCTCAGAGAGCGTTGTTGCTTGTCAACAGATGCTTCTATTGTCTATGCTACTCACATCAGCATGCTGCTCTTGGCAGATACGAACGTGCGGCCAGCGTGGTCCACCGTCAATGAATCAGATAGGTCTACAGCCAGTGAGAAACAATGAAGAGAAAGGAAATAGAAAGAGAGAGAGAGAGAGAGAGAGAGAGAGTGTGTGTGTGTGTGTGTGTGTGTGTGTGTGTGTGTGTGTGTGTGTGTGTGTGTGTGTGTGTGTGTGTGTGTGTGTGTGTGTGTGTGTGTGTGTGTGAGAGAGAGAGAGAGAGAGAGAGAGAGAGAGAGAGAGAGAGAGAGAGAGAGAGAGAGAGAGAGTGAGTGAGTGAGTGAGTGTGAGAGAGAGAGAGAGAGAGAGAGAGAGAGAGAGAGAGAGAGAGAGAGAGAGAGTGAGTGTGAGTGTGTGTGAGAGAGAGAGAATGGGCAAGCAAACCTTACTTCTGTATGTGTTTCACCATCTCAAATGTACATTAGTAGTGAAGTTGGTAACTCTCACGGTACATGATTGGGGACTGTAAGAAATTCAATCTCAACGCTCCCGCCGGATTAACTATGTACGCTGAGAAAGCATTTGAAGACCATTAATTTTCACATTCCCGGGGACGGTATCGTGATCATAATACTTGTTTTCTTGTAATACTTTCCGAATGACAGGCCTGGTGAAAGTTCTTACAAGTTTCGGTTTTAGGCTTTCAGCTATCCTGCTGAAGAAGTAAGATAACACAATATTAAACTCCAATAATTTGCTTCGTCTCTTCATTGTTGCAAGCATCAGCTTGCGCATACCGCAGTGCTCAACATGTACATGTATGCGTTGGTTAAAGCAGATAAAACGTACTGTGAACCCTCCCCCCTAGTGTGCTGCTTCTGTGAACTCACATTGGCCAAACCAGCGAGAATAGTCCACAGACACGTTCAGCGAGACCATGTCGAATACCAAGCCACACCACGGGAACAGACCTGACACAACACACGCACACACCCACACATATACATACGCACACGCACACACATACGCACAACACACATACACCCCCGCCCCCGCCACACACACACACATGCGTGCATGCAGGCACACCGAATACAAACGCAAAGCAGCAGCATGAATTAGGGACAGCAACTTGCCAAGGGCAAGGCAGTGAGCAGCATACAAGTTAAGAATACATTGTTAATAGAGCACGTTGATCAAAGAAACTACACACAGGCCATGTT